CAGGAGGGCAGGGTTGGTGGGTTGAGTTGAACCCCGGTCTGGGATTGACGTCGATGACGACGATGACCAGATGAGGATTTACAACCTATGAGAAGATTGGGAGCAGAAGAAACAGGGAGAAGACCGGTAAGCCAAGCGAGTAAAACAGAAATACAGAGCAAATGGGAAGTGCCGATTGACAAGCCGAGGCAAGGAAACAATAACAACAACAGTCCCAGACCAATCTTGATTCGAGGCTTTCGTGACTGCAGGGATCCAAACTCTTTGGTTCTTTCGGTAAAGTCACGTAGAAGGGAAACAATAAAATTAAAAAAATATAAAACAATAAAATTCTCACGACGTTTCGACTGCAACACAAGCAATCATCATTGTTTCTTATTTTCATCATTTTATTGTTTCCCTTCTACGTGACTTTACCGAAAGAACCAAGAATATGAATCCCTGCAGTCACGAAAGCTTTCAATCAAAATGTTTAAATTTGTCGTTAAAACCACCACCGTCGTCACTACCACCCACCCACACAACCAACCACACATCCCCAAGTACATTTTTCGATTTAAAGCTTTCGTGACTGCAGGAATTCATCTTCTTGGTTCTTTCGGTAAAGTCACGTAGAAGGGAAGTAATAAAATAATAAAAATAAAACAATAAAATAATTCTCACGACGTTTCGGCCACAACGCAAGCAGCCGTCCTCAGGTGAAACCAGGTCTGTTATTATGTTTTATTTTTATTATTTTATTACTTCCCTTCTACATGACTTTCCCGAAAGAACCAAGAAGATGAATCCCCAAGTCAGTCACGGAAGGTTTTTTATCAAGTTGCGGGACAGTGAACCCACAACTTCTCCCGACGCGCGGGCTGTCCGCCCGCGTCTCGCCGGTAACTACATCCAGCATCACCGCGCAATTTCTGCCGAGGAAAAGATTTCAGCGGGCTGAGCGCGTAACGGCTTGGCGCAGCGTGCTGTTGACGGGACAAAGCTTCGCCGATTGGACCTGTCGGATGACGACGGGTCAAACGACGCATTCATATTCAGGCGATCGAACCCGCTAAAATAAACTTTGTGATGTAAAAAAGTATTGTCGTCATCATCATCGTCGTCATCATCTTCAGCATCATCATCGTCATCGTCGTCGTCATCATCGTCATCATCATCATCGTCATCGTCGTCGTCATCATCGTCATCATCATCATCATCATCGTCGTCGTCGTCGTCGTCGTCGTCATCATCATCATCGTCGTCATCATCATCATCATCATCGTCGTCATCATCATCATCATCGTCATCATCATCATCGTCATCATCGTCGTGGTCATCAGCGTCATCATCGTCATCATCATCATCGTCATCATCGTCGTCATCGTCATCATCATCATCATCATCGTCGTCGTCGTCATCATCATCATCGTCATCATCATCATCATCATCGTCATCGTCGTCGTCGTCGTCGTCATCATCATCATCATCATCATCGTCGTCATCGTCATCATCATCATCATCGTCATCATCATCGGCATCATCGTCGTGGTCATCAGCGTCATCATCATTATCATCGTCATCGTCATCTGTAAGGGGCGATCTTGGACGCGGAACTGATACTGCTGTATCCCAGCGCCCGTCTTGCGCGTCACGATAATAATAATAATGTTCATTTGGGAGACGGGAGATTTTACAAAACCGCGGCATCTCTCTGCTCATCTCCGTCGGCGACCTCGGAGGCAGCGGTGGAAATTCCACGTTTCCATGACCGAGGGCCTAACTCATGATGGTGGTGATATTACCACGAGTGTGCATGTGAGTGTGCGTGTGAGTGAGTGTGTGAGTGTGTGTGAGTGTGTGTGTGAGTGAGTGTGTGAGTGTGTGTGTGCGAGTGTGAGCGAGTGTGTGTGTGCGAGTGTGAGTGAGTGATTGTGAGTGTATGAGTGTGTGTGAGCGAGTGTGTGTGTGTGAGTGAGTGAGTGAGTGTGTGTGTATGAGTGTGTGTGAGTGTGTGTGAGTGTGTGAGTGTGTGTGTGTGAGTGTGTGTGTGTGAGTGTGTGTGAGTGAGTGTGAGTGCTGTGTGAGCGTGTGAGAGTGTGTGTGAGTGTGTGTGTGAGTGTGTGAGTGTGTGTGAGTGTGTGTGTGTGTGAGTGAGTGTGTGAGTGAGTGTGGGTGTGTGAGTGAGTGTGTGAGTGAGTGTGTGTGTGTGAGTGAGTGTGTGAGTGTGTGAGTGTGTGAGTGTGTGTGAGTGCCCAGCCACCGCATGCCTAAACAGCTTTTGTTCGGCCGGATCGAGGGGGCTAGACGGGCGCGGCACGGGCTGGAGAAGAGATGGAGTGATGTGGTACAGGAGGACGTGGAGCTGAGTGGACTTGCCGATGACTGGTACCAGCGGTGTCAAGATCGGCCTCAGTGGAGGAGGCTCGTGAAGGACGCTACTGGGCAGTTGGAGGCAGTCGCCCTCCAACAACAACGGAGGGCGGAGGAGCGACGCTCACAACAACGAGCGGAGCGCCGGGTGGCTAAAGCACAGCAAGTTGGTACAGTAGGCGGCACAGGTGGTGCATCAGCCAGTCATCTCGGTCATCTCGGTCAGTCGATCCGTGGCACCTGGGTCTGCCCCGTGACCTCCTGCCACCGGGCGTTCGACACTTCACGTGGCCTCAAGGTGCACTTGGCCTGGCACAAGCATCGTGGTGACGTCACCGCCACTTAGTGGCGAATGGCGGTTGTTGTTGTTGTTGTTGTGAGTGAGTGTGTGAGTGTGTGTGTGAGTGTGTGTGAGTATGTGTGTGAGTGTGTGTGAGTGTGTGAGTGTGTGAGTGTGTGTGAGTGTGTGTGTGAGTATGTGTGTGAGTGTGTGTGAGTGTGTGTGTGAGTATGTGTGTGAGTGTGTGTGAGTGTGTGAGTGTGTGTGAGTGTGTGTGTGAGTATGTGTGTGAGTGTGTGAGTGTGTGAGTGTGTGTGAGTGTGTGTGTGAGTGTGTGTGAGTGTGTGTGTGAGTGTGTGTGAGTGTGTGAGTGTGTGTGTGAGTGTGTGTGTGAGTGTGTGTGAGTGTGTGTGTGAGTGTGTGTGAGTGTGTGAGTGTGTGTGAGTGTGTGTGAGTGTGTGTGAGTGTGTGTGTGAGTATGTGTGTGAGTGTGTGTGAGTGTGTGTGAGTGTGTGTGAGTGTGTGAGTGTGTGTGAGTGTGTGTGTATGCGAACCCTGGTGACCCCGAGTTGCTCACGGCAACCAAGACCCAGTGACGATTATCTGAACCCCAAGGTCGACTCAGCCTCAACTGAGTACCTGGTGCGACGTGTAAACATCGTCACTAGGGAGACAAAGGCGGCCGGGCGTGGTGCTGGCCACCCACCCCCTCGTGTGCCACAGTGCCGGTAGCCTTCATAGCGGCTGCTACTCGCTACTAACAGCACTTGCCCCAACAGTCTGCCAAGGCTATATGGGGGACCTTTGTCTTGTGTGTAAATACATGTGGGATGCGTGTTTGTTGTGTATACGCGTGTATATTTTTGTTGTCTCATGTATATATTAAATATGCGTGCTGTGTATGTCTCTGTGTTTGTGTCTATGTATAGGTCAAAGGACGTGTATTTGTGTGTGTATGTAAGTGCTTCATCTGTGTACGCACTCTGCATGTCCGCGTTTATGCGAGTTCGATTCCCGATCACGGCTCGCACCGGTGACGATTATCGGAATCGGTTCTGGGCCTCCCCTAGGTCTACTCAGCCTTAAATGGGAGGCTGGGGAGACAAAGGCGTTCCCGGCGTGGTGCTGGCCACCGACCCCCCCCAATCGACTAACATCACTTGCCCCAACCGTCTGTGCAGGCTACACGGGGCATCTCTGTCTTTGTGTGTGTGTGTCACAGTGGCGGCTGGTACCAGCGGTGTCAAGATCGGCCTCAGTGGAGGAGGAGGCTCGTGAAGGACGCTACTGGGCAGTGCCAGGCTAGGTGCACCTTGGAGGCAGTCGCCCTCCAGCAACAACGGAGGGCGGAGGAGCGACGCCCACAACAACGAGCGGAGCGCCGGCTAACAGCACTTGCCCCAACAGTCTGTGCAGGCTACACGGGGGACCTTTGTGCGAGCGTTGTGTCAGCGGCCGTCGCGACGCTGCGAGACCCACGTTCGATTCCCGCTCAACGACCATCAACGTCGGCGATCATCATCCGAACCGGTCCTGGGCCTCTCCTAGGTCCACTCGGCCTCAAACGAGTCACGCCTGCTTGCGGTGCGCGGTGAGCATCGCCACTGGGGAGAGACAAAGACGGCCGGGCGTGGTGCCGGCCCCCCCCCCCTCGTGTGCCACAGCGCCGGCCTTCGGAGGCGCCACTCACAGCACTTGCCCCAACAGCCTCCTGCAGCCTTCGCACTGCGGGGGGCACCTTTGTCTTTGTGCGTCTGCGATTCACAGGAGTGGGGGGCGGGGGGGGGCAGGTTCGTCTCCCACTGTCAGTGACACAAAGACAAAGGTCCCCCGCGTAGCCTTCAGACTGCCGGGGCAAGTGCAGTCAGCGAGCACGGGCAGTGAGGGACACGGGGAGGGTGGGTGGCGAGCGACCACGCTCGGCGATGTTTACTGCGCACCGCTGCACCGCGTACTCGTTTGAGGCCGAGTCGACCTAGAAGAAGCCCAGGACCGGTTCAGATCGTCGTCACCGGTGTTGGCTGTGAACAGGAATCGAACTCGGGAAGCTGGGTTCATTGGGCAGCGCGCTAGCCGCGAGATACCGCCGCTCCCAACACTCCCCACACATGTTACACACATGTTACACACATGTTACACACACATGTTACACACACGTGTTACACAACACAAACACACACGCGTGTTACACACACACACACATGTTACACACACACACACATGTTACACACACACACACGCACATGTTACACACACGTGTTACACACACACACCCATGTTACACACACCCACACACACACACACGTGTTACACACACACACCCATGTTACACACACCCACACACACACACACGTGTTACACACACACACACACACCCACACACACACACCCACACACTCAGTTGATTCAATCCAGTCACTCATCGGCGGTCATTCCCCTCCTTATCACTCGTC